TTTGATCTGTAACCAACTAATTTTGAAATCTGTGACCAACGAATTAAATGTGACCTATAAAATTTTTGAACTGTGACCATTAAATAATCTGGGACGTATAAAAATTAGTAGTTGTGACTGAAAAATAATATGTGACTATTTCAATTATTAATCTGTGACCGGAATTATTGCCGGAATAGTCGTCGGAATGGTCGTTGGAATAGTCTCCGAAATCGGAGCAGTCGTCAGAATGGTCGCCGAAGAAGATTGGTCGCCAGAATAATCCCCGAAGCGGTAGAGGTGGTGCATGTGGGGTGAATTTATTATATTATATTAGAATTAAAGAAAAAAAAAACCTGATTTTTGAATTTTCAAACTATAAACATGATTTTTAAATTGGTGTAAACTAAACACTTTATTTATGAATTTTTCCCATCTATTTTAGTGGTTGAAATTAATTTACAAGATGTCGGCAAAAGTACTAATAGTAGGCTGTAAATGTCCGTTTCTTCTTTTGCCAAAAAAAGCTTGCAAAAATCTGATTGAAAAATTCATCTCTATCCAAACACGAAACCATTGTTGTCCTGTCTCCGTCAAAATTTAATATGGACAAAAAATTGGACCAAGCCCTGTGATGCTGACGGTTGCCGGAGGTAGAGAAAATACGATTGAGCCATTTTGTTGACCATGTGTTGTGCCCCTTGTTGTTTCATTCATTGAGAGGATTACCTAGGATTGTTGCTCATAGGGTCGACTGCTTTTGATGCTGCCTCGATGACCGTAGTCGGAGGCTGTGGATGGAATCAATGGTAGCACTATGAAACTAAATATCGACCTAAGCTTTCTCATCGAGTCTTCATGTCGGTTTGAGATTTTGGATTGCATTTTCACTTGAATCTGTTTAGACATATTTGGCATTTTTTTTTTGTATCATCGATAACTGATTTTGGTGGCGGGCTTTCTTTGATTTTCGCAAGAAAATTTCCTTTTCCAGTTTTGTTTGATGTTTCCATTTTGTTGTGGGTTTCTTCAACAGCCTTTTTTTCAAGGCGGAAAACTCCTTTTTCTAATCTATTTGCAATAGCCACTTTCATGGTAGGTTTCTTCGACCCATAACTGAAAGTAGCCATTTTCCTTTCATCTTGGTTGTTGACCTCCTCCAGCTTTCGGTTGACGAGCTTCCAGAAAGCACTATCCTTCGCGGTTGTTGTTTTTGCTCTTTTCAGTAGAAAAACTAAAGAATTTTTCGGCAGTGGCGGACACAGACATTTTTTGTTGGTGGGACACACTCAGAACTTTCCAAAAATTTGTTAGTGATTGCCAATGGCCTATGTGATTATCCTGTAATCATCTAGCTATCTTCAGAACTAAGATTCAGAACTAAGAACAATTATTCTGATTTCAACTTCACTAACATATTGAAAAGGTCCATTTAACACTTGTGAATGCACAGATGGATTGCTGACTGCTAACGTTAAATTATTGAAATAATTCAGTTTATTTAAACCACCTAATTTGATATACCAGTATAACAAACCAGTTGGATTCAATCCGTTTAAAGCAGTTGGATTTCAAGATTTTTGTTCTCAAACCAGCAACATCTTGGACAACATGTTTAAGTTTCAATGAACAGAAACTCAAAAAAAACGATGCTTCCTGATTCCTCAAGTAAGTTTCTCATGAATTGAATATTCTAAACGATGCGTCCTGATTCCAGCTAAGAAGGCTCATATGAAAGCTCCTCTCAAAGAACAGCACCCTCATCCAAAATTTCTTACCTTTATAAATGCCATTTCTCAGTCCCTTATTTTCCACTCAAAAATTCGCTAAAGAAACAAATGAACAAGAAAGGGAAAGATTTTCATCCATATCTAGATTCATATATCAACACAAAAAAATCCCACAAAATCTCTGTTAATAATAAATAAAAAGAGCTAAGATTTAGCTATTACCTTTTGGTTTTTCTCTGAACACAGAGATGCAAAAAGCAGCACTCCCAGCAAAGTTCAAGTCTGACTCCCAGCAACAAGCAGATGGCGGAGAGTCTGACTCCCAGGCCCCAGCAACGCTCAAGTCAAGATGGAGATTAGGGAAGGGTGGTTCAATTGAGGCGGACATTAGGGACGGGACGATTGCTTTTCCTTTTCAAATTGCAATGACGATTGGTTTTCATTTTGAAGTTTCAATTGCAGGATTTAGGGACTAGGGTTGTTGCCTTGTTGGTGGAGGACTATTCTGAATCTCTGATGAATTCCTATATGAAATTATGAATAATTAAAAAAAAAAAAAAATCTCATCAAACTTGGTGGGTCACGTGACCCACCAGGACCCACTGTGGGTCCGCCCCTGTTTTTCGGTGACCTTTTGAATGAGGTAATAACATGGTTAATCTGCCGATTTTTCACATACGGCAATATGTTGACCTCGATAAATGCTTTAGAAGAATCCCTACTATGTCCCCTTCCCATGGACATCAGTTGCACACTAAATAAGGATTAAACTATTTGTACATGGTCCTTGACATGACTTTGTAAATTCAAAAGTGAATGGGTGGAAAATTGTTTTTTATTTTTAAACTGGTCAATCATGTTGCGACATGTAAATCATGTAAAACTTCATGTCAAACTCCATGTACTGGTAGCATTGTTGAAAAAATAAAGTAGTGCTTTAATTGATACAAATTAAAGTAACTCAATTGAAACTCGAATTAAAGTACAATGATTCCTGAAGAAATTAACCAAAACTAATGAATAAGATGAGTCCAAAACAAGGGAACAATACATAACTCCTACATATACGAATTACATTTCAAAACTAGCAAATTTGTCAAATTATTTTAAAATATCAAATAATAATATCCCACCCCCAACCCATATACCCACCAATAAAAAATAATTCAAAAATTTATAACTTTTCTCGGAACCACACAAGACCCCAACCCAACTTGTAAAAAAATTTTAGAAATTAAAAATATTTGTTCATGGAGAGTACACCCCACTCTCGAAACCACCTCCTCCCACCCCAATCTTTAAAAAAATTCAAAAACTTTAAAGCGTTTATCGAAATTACACCCCACCCTTAAGGAATCACTCAAGATTTGTGATTAATTTGTGTTATTTGTGATTGACTGTGATCAAATTTATTTTTAGTATAGCTGTCTGTGACTGTCTAATTTGTGAGGTATGTAACCAAAGCACTAAACCACCTCCACCCACCCCAACCTTTAAAAAAATTCAAATAATTTAAAACGTTTATCGAAATTACACCCCACCCTTAAGGAGCCACTCGAGATTTGTGATTAACTTGTGTTATTTGTGATTGACTGTGATCAAATTTATTTTTAGTATAACTGTCTGTGACTGTCTAATTTGTGTGGTATGTAACCAAAGCACTAACATGTGCTATTTATGATTAACTGCGATCAAATTTATCTTCAATATGATTAAATGTAACCAAATTTGTATTTAGTATGTCTGTCTCTGACCAGTTACAATCAACACAAAATTTGTCTCAACCAATTACAATAAACAGATATTTGATCACAGAGGATTGCCACAAACAAATTTGCACACATTGCAAACCAGAACCACCTGTCACCACCATCATCACCTCCAATGCACCTCTACTACCACCTTCAACTCAAATCCACAACCATAAATAATACTTTCATCTCAAATCCACAATAGTAAACAAGCATTATTTTTCGATCATAAATTACAAATTTTACATATCACAATTTATCTCACGGTCACAAATTATCACAACCAACAAATTGTGAGTTACCATTACAGATTTAATTCTAATTTTGCCTTTTTAAAACCAAATATTATTTGTTGGTCACAATCACCCAAATTCTCAAACCCACTCCACCAATGACACTAATCGAACACCATTTTACCACCACGAGCACCAACTATGACCACCACCTGCACCATCGTTTGCACAACCACCACCACTTCACCATGAAAAAATACCAACAATCACCCCTAAAACTCCGGCTAAATAGATCGGATAAAAAACTCACCTACAAACAATTACCAATAAACCACCCCACAGTAATCGGATTAGAAAATCAACCATAAAAAAACCAAATCAAAAAATCACCAACAACCATCAATAAACCACTACCGATAAATGAGAGTTACAACCTCACCGCCACTACAACGAAGGCCACTTCTACTTTTACAACCGCCCGATCCCAGCACTAGCACCTGCCTTTTGGCGCTAGCACCAAATTTCTAGATACTAGGTTCTTTAACGTGAATGTGAATCCTTAAGATACAAACACAACACCAGGTTACATCATCAACCTTAGGTGAATCAATCAAAGGTCGATCAAATCTTCACAAGGATGGAGAATTTCATAACCTTAATGAGTTGTGCCTCAAACGGCTGATAAGATCTTTAGAGGACCCAGCTAATATCCTGGGATTCAACATGTCTGACATTCTACCGTTGCACATCTGAGTGGAGTGTCGCTCAAATCGCTCATAGTTCTGTTGCATCAAAGCTAAAACAACGATGAGCATTGCTCCGACGACGATGACGAAGTGAGAATGAGAGGTAGATAGATTAGAGTAGATGAGAGAATGGAAACAATAGAGAGAATGAAGAAAGAAAGAAAATATGGGGGGTGGGTAGGGTGGGGTTATATAGATTAATTCAATTTTATAATTTTATTATTTAATATTAAAAAATCGAATTATCATGTATTTTTTGTACAAAAAATTTTAAACTTTATTTTTGAAATTGTAAGTTAAAAAACATGGATGAGTGTAATTTCCTCCCAAAACAATCATCTCTAAGAATGTTAATGGGCCGAACTATCTCGGCTCGACTCATTCCACCTAATCAGCTTGTCTATGCACGCTTTGGGACGAGCTGCTTTTACAGCCCACATAATAAAGGCTGCAAGAGTAGCCCATCTAACAATGTTTTTAGGTGTATTTTTTACTTTGGAATGGAGCGGTACTGTTTCGCATGAAAAAAAATCACTTAAACGTCTCTAATTTTCTCTCAATGCAACCATCTCTCTTTATTAGAGTAAAGAAAAAATATAAATTATTCTTCATACCTATTGACTAATGTGACTAATTCTGCGTACTTGCACCAATTCATGACAAAACCCCTGGGATGACTAATGTGACTAATTTTGCGTACTAGCACCAATTCATGACAAACCCTTACGATGGCAACGTCGGTAGGTCCTTGTCATCTCCTATTTTTTCTGGAGCTTTGAAAGGTGGGTAAACAAGATAGAGATTAAAACATCTCTATCGTTCATTTGATCGATTGATTTATATATTATTATTATTTTTTCAAAAATTTTAATTTTAAACATTAAAAAATAAAAATTAAGATAGGACAACGTAGGTAGGAATGTTAAGTTGGTCGAGCCGAGCTCATTTGGCTCGCGGATTAGGCAAGTTGGCTCATAAATTGTGAGAAATTCTTCTTTCACTTGAAAAAAGGATGAGCTGCAATCGATTTGGAAGTCAAATCAACTAACCCTGTAAAGAGGAGAATTTGTGGATGAATCGAGCCCACATTTAATTAAACAAGTCTATCATGCTCGAATCGTCCCATAAATAATTGCCAGTTGACTCACAAGTAGAATGAATCGAGCTTGATGATGGACAATTCGAACTGATCGACTCAATCCATTTGACACACCTATGCGTCAGGGAGAGTAAGGACGGAACACATGCCTTGACGTGTTTGCACCTTGCACTAGGCTCCAAATGATAAAAAATTAGAGAGAAAAAAAGTAAGATAACTCATTGCTTCCTGTTCCCTATCCACCTAAAAAGGGAAGTTGAATTTCATGTCGACACGCATGATGAAACCTTTGGACCATTACCCTCCACGTTGCTCATTTATTATGGTTTACAAACACGTGTCTGGTATACGTTGCAAGTGCATATGTATATACTCGTACATCCTGGACATCATTAGCATCCGATCCCCTGTTGTTGTTCAAGTGTAAAGAGAAGAAGAGAGACGAAAAATGCAGGATTTGGCGGGCAAAGCGAAGAATTTCTTAGCAGAACATATGGCTGGCGTAGAAAAACCAGAAGCAGACATCACAGATGTGGATCTTAAGGATGTTGGAAAAGAGGGCATAACATATATGGCTAAGGTTTCCATTACGAATCCTTACAGTGTTTCTGTTCCCATTTGCGAGATCCATTACTCCCTCAAAAGTGCTGACAGGTTCACTCTCTTTATCCCCTTTTCATCCTGCATCTATCCATCTCTTTCTTTATGTATATGCTTGTTTAGGCTCTGTTTGAGCCTATTTTTTGGGTAAAGTAATCGTGGTTTTATCGGAGAATACGTGGTTGAAAGTTTTAAAAAATATGTGATTAACGGACTTAATATTCTTGATTAGAGAAGGAAAATAAGGGTTTAAATTTGTAGTATACAAGTAAGTTAATTTTTTGTTATTTGAAATTGTATCATCTCACTTACTTGGCAGGCAGATCCCATAAAGCTAGAACTGCTTGCTGTTTTTTACCTATGCACGTCGGAAGTAGTATTTTCTGCTTCATTTAATTCCCAAAAAAAACTACTTTTTTCTGATGAAAAATGTGTGTACTTTTTATTAATTTGTGTAACAATTATTTTATACAGAGTGATAGCTTCAGGTATCACACCGGACCCTGGGAGCTTAAAGGGGAACGATACCACCATGGTCGATGTGGGAATAAAGGTTCCACACAGTGTGTTGGTGAGCTTGATAAAGGACATAGGTGCAGATTGGGATATCGACTATCTGTTGGAAATGGGACTTGTTTTTGATCTACCAGTTGTTGGTAACATCACAATTCCTCTCTCTAAAAAGGGTGAAATGAAGCTCCCCTCTTTTGCCAACCTCTTCACATGAAAATAATATAGGTACTCGATAGTATTATTCAATAAAAACGAGTCACAAATCGTGTTACTTTTCTTTTGTTGTACAAGTTCTGGTGCTTCCTTTTGTTGAACATTATTATTATTTAAGGTTCGATCACAACACTCTTTGAAGATGTTTAGCTAAGTTTACAAAGTTTATTACTTTTTTCCCATCTTTAAGATATCACTCGAGGTATTTTAGCTTCACTAGGGCGATGTGTGACCTGGGACTCTTACCTCTGTCTTAAGAGTCCCGACATCATCGGATGGGCATTTACTCTAATTTAATTGGGGATTTAAGTTGGAAATAAATAATTTATTTATTTTTTGCACTATCTAATTAAAATTAGATAAAGAAATTTCAAATATTTAAATATATTTGAAAATAAAAATTAATCTAGAATCATACCAATAATCACAACGGACATTTGCTCGTGTCAAAGCCTGTACAATAAGCTCGCCACAAATATTGAAATATTTCAATTGGTCACACAAATTTAAAAGATGGTGGTGACATGCAGAATGTGTGTCTATAGAAAGATCAATGCTTAATGGATTTGTTCACAGGAATTTTAGGATGAATTTTGATTTCGTTAGCAGTACTAATTCTTCGGTATCTCTCTCGTTGGTAGTAAGCATGATCTCATCGATAACGAGTAGGTCCAACTAATTTAATGGGGTAGTTATTGAACCATATCACAGAGTTCCAACGACGACCAAAGTAGCAAGAATAGACCGTCGCTATACGAGTGTGCGGAGTCTTACGTTGTGAACGTAAGTGGTCAGATATTTAGGTCAACAATGCCTTCCTTGTATCTTCCAACTATATCACCGTGTTCTTCATTATCACCCTGCGTAATAATCTTTGTCAATGTCTTCACGATACTTTTCATAATCGTGGTAACCATAATTGTCAGTATCTGAATCTCCGCATTATCAATCATCTTTACACCTATTACCCATCTTGCCATCTTTGGCGTACTCGTTCTAAATGTCTCTTGCCTTCTTCTCTCCTTTGTATCCTTTTCTCGACTTCAATTCGGGATTTTAAATTAAATAGAAATCAAGAAATTAAAAATATTTACCAATCGTGTAAGTAGAACTCGGCAAACGATCTAAGCCAGTACCAAAGATTTTTCCATATGCCCGAATTGAACATTTTAAAAGAAAAATGAAAATGGGAGGTTGAAATTGAGAAAAATGAAGTTCAATTTTGACCAGATTAATGTTAGAATGTAACGTTGATGAAATAATATTTTTAAAAATATATAAAATGTGAGATATATAAAAATGGTGTAGATATATAACCCTTGTTTAATTCCCGTTATTTTCAAAATATATTCTCTATTTTATTTTCAATCACATATTTTTCAATAAAATAATATTACACGCAAATTCAATTTTTTTCTTATTTTTTAACTACACATTCTATATCAAAATACTATTTTAAAATACAATTTGGAGAAAAAAAAAATGGAGCTCAAACAAGTCCATAGTGCTTAAATAAATGAATTAAATAAGAATAATGTTAGAATGTAACGTAGATGGAAATATTAGGGGTCATTCTCTTTGCCGTTTTCATCCTGTTCTCTATTTTCAATTTTTGAAAACACTGAAAATACGTTATTTACCTATTTTCAAAATGAATTTCCAAAAACGAGTTTAAAATTTCCAAAGAAAATCGAGAACATAAAAAATGTCGTCTTGGGTGTTTTCAGTTTAAATCAAGTCAAAATTTTTAAAACGCGATTTGGTTGTTTTCAGTTACGCCACCAACAAAAACCATCTTCGTCGCCGCCTGCACCACATCACCACTGCACCGCCAAAACTCCCACGACGTCGCGATCCAAAACCACCGCCACCACCACGCAACCACAACTGTCGTACACCACGCACACCACCGCCACAACTGTCGCACACCACCACCACAACCACAACCACAACAGTAACCCAAAATCGTAGCACACCACGCACCCAACCACCACATCTCAAAAAAAAAAAAAAGAAGAAGAAGAAGAAGTCAGCTATCGCACACTACTACTCCTCGTCGCAACAGCTTTGTCGTGGTCTTCGGCGCAGCAGCCTTGCTAAGGAGACGACAGAGAGAGAGACAACCGAGATGAGGGGAAGAAGAGAGAGAGAGAGAGAGAGATGACGAGAGAAGGGGAAGAAGAGAGAGGGAGAGACGAGAGAGAGAGGGGAAGAAGAAATCAACTTTTCCAATTTTTTATTTTTGAAAATAGTTTTTCAAAATGACAAAAAAAATACATTTTCAACGATCTCAAAATGGACACTCAAAATATAACTCAAAATGAATTCAAAACTCAAAATTGAAACACGAAGAGAACAGCCTCTTACTTTTCGAGAAAGTTATAATTTTAATAAAGATAGACCTACTTGAAAGTAAATCAGAAATACAAGAATGATAGAGGAGAAATAGGACTCCATCCCAAAACCTATATCATCAAAGCAACATACGACTACCTATAAAAAGCTCTTTTTATTCCTAGATACTGGCTGTCACAGGAAAGATGATGGCGAATTTACTATGAGATATCATCTTTGAAATACTCTCCAGACTTCCTGTAAAATCTCTGATACATTTTAAATGTGTTTCAAAATTGTTACTCATCGCCTCCAAGGCTCAAAGAGACAATGCCACGTAAGCAGAAAGTTAACAAGAAAGTCAAATAAAGACCCATGAGACCAAAACACGAAGAAGTCAAACAAAGCCGAAGTCTTTACACTGCAAGGACGAAGTCCAGGCTAAGGCACCTCACCTTCGAGGCTCAAAGAGACACCACGTAATAAGTCATGTAGGCAGAAAGTCAAATAAAGACCCATGAGGCCAAAACACGAAGAAGTCAAATAAAGCCGAAGTCCTTACATTGCAAGGACGAAGTCCAGGCCGAGGCACTACCTCAAAGACAAAGCTTCCGGAGGAAACAAAGAAAGGAACTGAAGCTCTCCACCTAGAGGACCACTTCGAAGGTTCCTCCGAGGCTTTCAACTCGTCCGAAGCTCGCATGGCTGATGCTATTCCTTGTAATAGATTCGAAGATCTCTTAGAAGTGATTGATGTAACACTTATAATCAAGTTTGTCAATATGTCAGCCTATTGTATAGAGCGGCTGACCCCTTATCAAAGTATTAATTGTATTAATAGACATTGATGCAACGTCCCAATTAGAGAGATGATGTCACATGGTTCTGATCCAAAGGTCACCACGTCGGTCCATGTAGTATAAATAGGTTCTCTTTGTAACTTAAAAAGGGTGGGATTATTGATTAGAATGGAGAAAATCATATATATTCGAAATAAACACTTGAACTGTAGAAAAAAAATATGCGAACACTTGTGCTTATTTTCTATCTTCTTTGTATACTTAGTAGTTGTAAATCTCAACATACAAAGTAACGATTTCAATGCACATCATATCTATCCTTCCACATATTCCCATTTCTATTGCACAAATTAGTTTGATTTTAACCCTTCTATCATTGTTAGCGCGATTGTGTTTGTTCAATCCGTCGGAGTTTAAACATTTTTGTCTCTCGCCATAAATTACCTCCCGCGTCCATCTTCTCTTTGCTACCGTTGTCATTCTGGTAGGAACGCGCTAGAATCGTACTTGAGTTGACTTGAGTAGGCCCGACATCTGTTGGCTCATTTTCAGGGGTCAACAAAAATCATTCTACTCTTTGATTTCTAAAGATCCCTACTTCAAAAAGAAACATATGAATCAGTCTGCAAAGTTGGTTCTTTATCTTGAATCTCCAGGAAAACGCGTTTCGTCAATCTCCCTTTCATCTCTTTCCTATAACGAAGAACCCTTTTAGGATTTGAAGATTTTTGATAATCTAGTTACAGAGTCAGAGATTTGGACCATTTACGATTCTTGTGACGGATTGTTTTGCATTGAAGAACGAGGATAAGGTGTGTTCATATGGAACCCTTCTATTAGAGAATCGAAAAAAACTTCCCGATTGTCCTATTGATGTCAAAATGCTTCCGGTATCCATACACGTGGATTCACATATGCCTTAGCTTATGAATCATTCTTAGATAACTGTAAAGTATTTAGTGATTTCTTGTTTCTTGATGTTGAAAAGGGCAGAAGGACTGAGTTAAAATCCTATTCACTGAAGAGTGATTTCTTGTGGAGAAAAATTGAGAATTTCCCATGTGAAGATCTCTGGCATAGGGAAAATTTTAACTTGTTGAACGGAGCATTCCATTGGATTATTACAAATGGCAAAGATAACATTGATTCTGCTGGTTTCACTTGAAATAGGAACTGAAAAATATATAGAGTTATCACTACCATGGACTTGGTATTCTTGTAGTCAAGGTTCCTGCATTTATGTGTATTGAAGCGAAAGCTTTGTTTGTACAACCTTTTCTTCAGTAAATCGTTTGATCTATGGGTGATTGAAGAATTCAGTGTTACGGAATTCTGGCAAAAATATTCACTATTCCTTTCTATGAGCATCGACCTCAGAGCCAATTCTTTGAACCCATGTAAAATCATACTAAAGGTGAGAACTGGTGAACGAGTTCAAGCAGTCACTTACAAACATGGAATATTTGCATCCACGAATCTTGGCAAATATCAGAAGGCATGTATCTGGATAGAGACCCTTATTTCACCTCATCTAAACTACTTAAGGTTAGAGGAAGGGATTAGTTGAAAATAATGATAAATGAAAATTGATGAAGATAATAAAACATTAAAGCCAGATAATAATTCTAGTTTTTAACATATTAAACAATTGTACGAGATACAATATATATATACAGATTTCTTGGAGTGATGAGCAAGCCAAAGAATAACTAATCATGTGAACAAAATAGAAAATAAAAGGCTGTTACAACAGAATAAAAAGTGGTCCCAAGGTGCACGTTTATTAGCTCAATTCATTAGCATGATCAAGTCCAATATACTACAATTCCATATACTTCAACATCCCCCTTCAAGCTAGAGTTTAGCC